AATCATAACATACATTTTGCATGAGTGGCCCACCAAATATCCCGGGGGTCAACCCTTGTTTTTAACGAGAGAAAGTTACAAGGCTTCGATATCAAGTAACAGAATTGCACAGTTCACACATTTGTTTTATTCACAAATAAAAATACAAAAGCGAACGAATAAAAATGAATGGCGTGGCTTCTGCAGCCCGTTCGTGGCGACGTAGCTTGGAATCTTTCCAATGTTGCAAGACATCCATGAAGAATGATTCCGCTTTGTCTGCTTTTATGGATGTCTCCCCGCCACATCTCAGAAGCATTGTTAGGTGTCTGCTGCTAAGCCTATTCCTACAAAAGTGGTATTCATCAATATCAAATATAGTCCTATTTTCTAAATAAATAAGTAAGAAGTTTTCTCAAATTCTCATACTTTCAAAATTATAATAATTTTTACCTGTGTTTCGTCTTAATTATGTTTATTGAAGAAAACCCTCGTTCGGCCCCCGAGGGTACCGGCTGCGAAAACTTGTAGGACTTTGCCCAGCACTTGAAAGCATGGGTACCGGTACTCGGGCGCTGCCGCTAAGTACTTGCATACCTGTAATTTATTTGCATATATTAAATTAGGTTCCATATGCTTCGAAGCTAAGTGCGTGTGTGTTGGATGAGAGATCAGAAGCATACGACAAATAAATACAAATGGTAGCTACCGATTAGAACTTACGTTCTCCATAGCCGGTATTTGGAGAATATGCAGATCATGACGAAGATTCTGCCATTCCATCACTACTGCCTCTTTGTTTGTGAATTCTTCGATCAAAGGTCCACATTGTCTAATTTTCTTATAATGAACTCAGAAATGTAAGTAACATACGTGCAGATTGCGGTTCCTGTTTTCTTATCGTGTATAATATATGGAAACTCTCTTTTCCATTTCTCCGGCCAAGCGTCAAGCTCTAAAATATCATGTCGTTGTTTCTTTTTCTCTGCCATGCCTACTAAAATAATTTCTAAGAAAGTAAAGTGGTAAATGCCTCGTTCATAATTACGGGTAAAATTGGCTTAACGTAATATTAGGAAGTGGAATTGTAATTAATCTACCACAAATTGATTGCACACTAACACACCATGCGATGATTCATATTCTAAGCTAAGCCTATTTTATCATAATAAATCTATGACAAACTTTTTCCATCCTCGTAGGTAGGTCAAATCTGGGCGCTATCGCTTTAGTATACCACGCTTGCTCGTTCGATAGAATATGCTTGAAAGTAGTCGCTCCTCTTCCACTTTTATAAGATTGTTTGTCGTCATGTTTCTCCGGCTCCCTTTTTCATTCTTTATCGATTGTTGTGTTGTTGAAAAAAAAAGGGCTAACCTACTTTCTCTTCAAACCTTCTTCTCCAAAATATTGCACAATATTACTTTGAAAGTCATCTCCCGCTTTACGAGATAGGTTAACCTACTTTCACTCCGAAGATTTTGTTCTCCGCTATATTAAGCAATATCCTTTTGATAGACACCACCCGCTGTTTTAAGAGATAAGTTAACCTACTTTCCCTTCCAACTTTTTCTCCTAAATATTACACAAGATCACTTCTAAAATCTTTCCCCGTTTCGTGATCCTAAACTAGCTTTTAGCCTAATTTATCGTTTACATTAATGTTATACTATTTCAGAGCTTACGCAAAGACAAGCAATTTTTTTAAATGTCGGCATGCCTTGATTTGCGTGCGAGTTAGTTAAAATCGGGTAGAAAACATCATATATAGGCAGAATTTGCGAAGTAACACAAAATACAACGAGGATGATTCTCGAAAATTGAAATTAAAGCATTGCACCAAAAGTGTGTTTCACGACGACATAATGCGTTTAATAAATTAAAAGGTATGGTCGTTCACAGCGAAATTCCAGTTACATATATATAGCACACCTTTCTTTGCCTGTCGGTGTTGGTGAATATTTTGCAAGTCCTATTTTAAACATCGACCATTTATCCGTAGTCAGCGGGTATCCGCATTCAGAAATAAAACACTAAAAATCGCGAAAATTAATTTTAGAGAGAACTATAACATGCAGATATCAGTAGCCTCATAATGGTTTGTATGTACAAAAACGCGCTCGCTTGTAGCGCCGAACAAATGCATGAAATGTGGAACTATTACTTGGAATTTATTGTTAATGAAGTTGATTTTTTATTGTCATTTAATGACTATTTACATGCGCGGTGTGATTAGTGGCGAGCAAAATATATTATATTTCGGACAGAATTGTGGGTTCACATCGGCGAAGATGTTAAAGACCACTATTACGGAGTGCATACACAACACAATTTAATTTTATCCTGATTTTTATCTTCTGTGTAGGATTTGTATCACAGTTTGTAAATTACGGTCCCAATTTTTTTAGGCGAACAATATTACCATTACTGACCCCGGGATGGGATATTTGTGAGGCGGATAGTTGGTATTTCTATGCTTTTGATTTTAGATCGTGTCGGTGTAACTTTCGTAATAAATAATATTTTAAAACTCCGCATATTGGTAATCTCTTGAATACTCAGTGTCGAGTATTCACGTAACTCAGATTTGAGTTAAAACACTCGTGAATGAATCGGCAATAATGGCATTTCTACATGGTTAAAATAAAAATATGTTTTCCCGATATCTTGAGAAATTTCCATAAATACATTATTTGCATGGTCGACGTTTCTAAGTTTACAAAAACGGTGCTGACACGCTCTGTGCAAAATTAGGAATTGAATTTCTTTTTTTACATTTATCGTTTCTACCTGTTAGCGATAGCCCTAGGTTAGCTCTTACCCGTAAATCGTTGTAAATTAATGTTATTAAATTCTATTTGGCTTTTCAATGCGCTGTGATTCGTATTCATAAAATTGATTGAGTAGGGAAAACTACGTCCTTAAATTAACTTATAACCCTCCTCTCCTTTTATGCACCCACGACCGCGGTAAAATTCGTTTCATGTCTGTTTCATGGAGAGAAAGGAAAATACACCTCCGGAATTGCAATCAACAATTACAATTACACATTCTTATTTATCATTATCAGCGCTAAATAATAAAGATAAGATATGGTAATGACAACAGTATGTCGGTTTTAATTGTGTTACGGTCACAAATATTCTGGACATTAATATCATAACCTCGCATATCAATGAGAAATGGATGCAATGTCGCAAAATTCCGAAAAATGCCACGTGCTTTTAACATTCCTGGTTACAATGCAATGGCTGTTAATAAGGCATATGATATGATATGTGTTTTGTGAATTTGATGATTTTGCAAAGTTTCTTCTAATTCAAAAAAAACTGTGTAAGCGTACATTATATTACTAAATAATGTCGTGTCGGGTTTCAGAACTTTCTAAATCCAGTAAAATCTCTTAAGAAGGGAACAAAGGCCCGTCAAACTTGCACCAGAAAATCGTTTCATTTTGTGGCAATTCGTTGATGTCACATGACCACACTCTCCTTCAAAGAAACTCACCGCGATTACGGTTGGAGCGTTTTGCGGGAGAAGCGGAATACGCGTGCTTGTATAATAATCATATTATTAACAAGAATTTTGCGGTTAATGCAAAAGCTTTATCTTCTATGTCTGCATCTCATAGGTTAGAATTCCGGTAAATATCGTTATGATATGCAGAAGTGAGTTACAAAAGTACTGGTATGTTACTTATTTGACAACTTAAGACTCACATAAACATATTTTTCAATTTTGAATTTTTTTCCTTTCAAAATCAGAAAAAAGTGCTATTTCTCTTCAAAATCGGAAAAAAGTGCTATTTCGCAGTCCCTAAAAAAAGTTGCGAAAGTGCTTCGCACTTTTCGCAAAAAAGTGCGCTAATAGTGAACACTGCCTGGTAATATAACTAGGTTGTAACTTGTAGATAGCAGTTATTCCATTGCTTATTGTATGGAAATGCCTACATACATTTAGATAAGCTTCAATTAGTGGAATTTATTTTCGAAGTATTCAAAATTTCTTATTCGAAAAAAAATAATTTCGAATGTATTCGAAATAGTGATTTATTCGGTATTGGCCATCCCTGATTGTAATTTATTGATTGTTGGGTATTTCCGAACCCGATCTGGACTTGTTACAGAACATGAGATTAAACAATCCCATCAGCCTCCTTTGTCTCAAAAAAAGCATTCACCTCCAATGCAGGGCAATTCAGGGTTATTTCTAAACCTAGCCTGGCAGGATAACCAAACATGACTCATGAGTGTTTTTCTCCCCCAAAGATGAATACAAATAACAAAAGCATTCACCTCCATGTTGCACAATCCATCAATCTATCCCTATAGAATTTCTTTCTGGTGGTTTGAGATATTCAAATTCAGGAACAAAATTGTTGCATCTTCAGATATCCTGTGGATAGAATAACATTGTTATAGAGGTCCATGTCCAAAAAATTTCCCTGGATTTTATAGTAAAGCAATTAAAAATTCAAAAGTAAAAATAACATGATCTCTTTCATGTTATTTTTACTTTTCACTTTAATACTATCTTGTTCAAGCATCTTTGTGGTGAGTGCCACATACAGATCCGAAGTAGAGTGTAATCAAGGAGAAAGGACCTGCAGTTCAATACACAATATCCAAGTTCCCCTAATTAAAAATTCCTTTATTTTGTGTTCTGCTGATGCCTCTTTAAATGAGTCACAAAGTTGTAAAGTACTTGCCATGTTTACTTAATAAGGCGAGCCATAATTACACAATGTTTTATTGCCGGAATCCCCGTAACAGGAACTGATAAAATATTAAAATCAAACAACTTTGCACTGAGGGATGACACTAAGAATTTAAATTACTGAGGCAATTAATAATCTGCACAACGATCTATGGCAGAGGTGTGCGACATGTTTTGTCGGTGGGCCATAAAACCAACTTCAGACATCTAGCTGGGCCACACACAAACAAAATAGTTTTTCCATGCAATGCAAGAGAATGCGGCTATTGCTTAGCCTTGCAGTAATGGAGGCACCAGGGATAATGGAGCAAAAACATGAATTTTCAAACACATTAGCGACATTTTAAACAATCACAGCAATCTGCGGATATAAATTTTCTGGTAGCCAGCTCGTGGGTAACGGTTATTCCATTGTTTAATGTATGCTAATTTCGCCATACATTAAGATAAGCTTGAATTCATTTTCGAAGTATTCGAAATTTCATATTCGAAAATAATAATTTCTAATGTATTCGTAATAGTGAATTATTCGGTATTGGCCATCCCTGACTGTCGGATTCAGATTTTATGCTCGATTGGGAAAATCTGAGTGTTGATAAGGGCCACACTAAATGGAATGGAGGGCCAGGTTGTGACTCGCGGGCCCCCTGTTGCATCCCTGCTCTATGGATATTTATTTTCCATTAAATCATTCTATCTTGCTTTAAATTTTCATTCTGAACATTCAATGAGAGACTTTAATTATTACTGCAATCAGTCAAACTATCATGCCAGATGCCTCATGTCATTAATAGAGAAGCACTGATTGCTAATGCGCATACAAGGTATATTATATATGTGTTAGCAGTAGAACTGGGCATTTCAAATAGGATAGTAGATTATTAAAGGTTGAGATGAATTCCTCAATTTTTTTTATTGAAGCCAGTAATTTATGGGCCTTTAGGATTCACCACAATAAAAAGTCACATACAATTGAATAACTTCCAAGTATTCGAGATTCAATTCGAGAAAATATCGATTCGTTTAAGAAATATCAAATATTTGAAAATGCTCAGCCCTAGTTAGTAGTGCTAGTGGAAAATACTATTTAAATGATGTCACTGACACCTAATGTAGTTACTAAAACTATAATCGAATGCGGTCATCATTCAAATTAATATCTGAGGACATTTTTATTGTTTCTCTCATTATAAATATCATTGGATCCATAATAAGATGAAAAAGGAAAGAACCTACCTTATTCATTTAGTGAACTGTTCAGCTGCGATGAGCAAGCAAGTGCACGGTACTTCCAGACAATTTTCATCTTTATAAAAGCCATAAATTCCAAAGTAGAAATATGACTCACATATTATTGCCTACAATAAACCAAGGCTAAAATTACACAAAAAACAATGATCAGCTAACCTCAGCAAAAATAAAAGAAATGTATTGGATATACTAATTAATACAAGGATTATACGGCAGCATGAAAGAGCAACACAAAAAATTGCACAGCAAAATTAAAAACTGTTGAGCACTGGCTTTGGCAAATAACTAGGCACTAATTAAATTCTCTAATATATGAAAATTATTACAGAATACTAAATATGAAATTACTACTGCACACCATTAATTGCATAAAAATTACAAAATACATTTACTAAAAATAGTTGACTATGACTATACGAATACACTGTAATTATTACAGTAATTAGGAATATATGAAACTTAAAGAACTTTGGGAATATATATTAAGCAGCTGTTCCATTGGAAGGCAGTGTTTATAATCAAAACATACTGAATTATTACAGCAATTTAGAATCGATTTTAGACTATTGGTACCATTAAGAAGGGATTTAACTTCTGATACCATACTTTAAACATAAGATTATCTTAAAATTGAAAACACGAAATCAATAAGTTAGTCAGTTAGCTGCGTTTTCATACCTAATAAAGAACATGTTTAAGAAATAATTAGCTACGAAAAAGGAGTCAGAATTGCATTCTGAATATATGGCTTTACAAAAAATTGAGGTATCCACACATAGACCTTTCATCTTGAGCGATTTGAAAAATTGCTATTGGTTCGAATTGAAATACCCATCCCATTCGTACATTATTTGTCAGAATTTGATTTAGCGATCTCAAATCCCCACGATCCACATTCTATCTTAGCTCCCGGACTATATTTCTTTATTTCCTCGGTTAGAAACTTCATTTGTAATACGCTCAGCATTTGGTCATAGAAGTTGAGTTTCCTCACCCTCTGAAACAGTCGAGAAACAATCATCAGTTCATCATCTGTGAGAGATTCTGTAGTTGATTTTTGCAAGTCTAAGCCAGATAATTTGATATTTTCATTTTCTAAACTTGTGCAAAGAGCTGATAACTGCTCAGTTGTAGGAGTGCAATCTTTTGCAAACAGATATTCTGCACCGGTATTTCTAAGTAACTTTGCCAGTTCTTGAAATGCCTCTTTATCCATGTTGGGATTTCCACCAATGATCAATGAAATCAGTTTGACACCATAATCAGCAGCTGCTTCATTCATCTTACTTATTTTCTCAGCGTTCAGGTCACAGTCATTCAGTCCGAGCCTTTTTGAGCTGCCATGATGAACAAAGCCAATTAAGTAATAAAATCCAAGAGGTTCTAATGCTGGACTTTCTCTTATTGTAAACCATCCAACTTTAAAATTTCCTTTCATCATGGATTCATTTAGAAATCTGAGTTTCTCAGCCTCAGGATCACAGTTAATAAGATAGAAGAATTCCACATGAATGTTCTGTACAGAACTTAGAGCATGTTGCAAAGACAGATGATTTTCTGGATGAATTTCCAATTGGTATGGTTTCAATGATCTTAGTGCTGGCATATGCTCTGCGGCAGCCATCACTGCTTGCTGTTCCCTTGGATTCAAAAAGTCAAATAAACCACCAAACTTCATTTCTTCTATTTTTGAGCAAACTTTCTCGATCACTTCAGGACCACATTCGTTTAATAAGGTCACGACTTGTTTATCTGAAATGACTTTTCCTTCTAATAATCTATCTAAGTAACCCATCAGGTATTCAGCCTTGGTATGTAAGTTACCAGAAATATATTTTGCCGCTTTTCCTGAAGTTGATTTGTTGAGAACAATTCCAAAAATATGTTTTATAACGACTTCCATTCCTGATTTCTCATAATTTTCCGCAATGAACTTTTTAAATTTATCCAAATCAAGAGTGCAGGCATAGAGAGCAGCAAGTATCTCTTGTAAACTCATGTGTGGGAACCTTATTCTCATGTCATCGTCATCCACAACATACTCAACAAATCTGGTGTCAGCATCCATCTCAACAAGACCACGCATGTCCTTCATGTCTAGGTTGAGTGACTCAATATAGCTTGCGGTGAAAACAAATAAATTCTCTTCAATTCCTTGGAAGGATAACTTCATGAGTTTTGGAACAAGACGATCTACACGTCGTCCATGGCGAGATCCTGAGAAACATCTGAGTACAGATATCATCAGATTTGTTAAAGTGTCAACATCAGTTTCTTTAGAATCTTTCAACACTCGGACCATATAAAAAAAGAACATTGGGTTCGAAACAAGGCCTGGTGCTTTCTGCCTCAGCTCACCAATGATTCTTTTAGCTCCAGAACCAAATAAATTTTCAGCAAGAAGATTTAGGGTTTCATCATCCAATCCCCATAAGGCAAGAGTTTTCTTTGCTTTGAGACCGGGAGGTAGCTTCCAATAAACATGCCACCGTGACGTAGAAAGAATCTTCATTCTTGGATAGATGTGGCCGGATAAAATATTGGCAATAATTGTGTTGGTTTCTGCTGGAGTTTCCACTCCAATTCTAGGATATTCATTCTCAAAAGGCTTTTTAATTTGATCCAAACCATCAACTACAAGTAAAATATGTTGAGAATTTCGCTCGAACCATTCTTTTCCGATCTTATGAAGACTTTTTGGAAGTTTCGATCCAAGCTGTTGGATGAATAGAAGATCGAAAGCCGTTGATTGATAGTCACATTGTAATTTGGAAATATCAACAAAATAGATCATTTTTATTTGTTCTGAAAAAACTAACTTCTTTTCTGAAGCCAGCATTGTATATCTCAGGGAGAATGTTGTTTTTCCAGAACCTGTGTCACCTAGCAACATGACATGGTTGACTAGTTTGTCAGAATGAATACTTGTAACATTCACTGATTGTAAATTAGTCTGTTTGTTAGATTTTGATTGCTTAAACTCTGTCAATTTGGGAAGTATGAAATTCTCCATTTTTGTTTTTTTTCTGACAGATTTTAAAGCAAATTCCAACATCTGCTCAGTGTAATTTTCCACAATCCCAAGAAATTCTTCAGTACTCTTTGCATCTTCCAGTACTTTGGAAGATCTGCCCGGACTGGTTGATCTCTTCGAAAAAAATTCTATCGCCCTTCGCTTCATCCTTCTTAAGATTGTTGTTTCACCATCTTCAATAGGCAATGTTGAATCGGTCAAACTTTCAGACACATCAGATGTCACAATTATCTTTGGCTGAATGTTTTGTTGATTTTCTGCTGGATTTTGCTCATGGATGACTTGTCCTTCCTCTGCCTGATTCTCTCCCTCTCCATGTATAAAAACATCCATTAATTGTCCTATTTTTTTTATCACAGCTGCATCTTGGGTATTTGGATGTCTGGAATGTCTCCATTTCCACAACATTTTTAGGTTGCGTTCCTCTACAGAGAATTTATTATTTTCTGTGATAGTCTCAACCTCCTGTTCAGTGAGGGATAATCCCTGACCTGATCTTGCAAATCTTCTAAATTGTTTTGATAGGTCCTTCAAAACCTGCTGGAAAGTATCTTCAAGTCTTCCAACAGGTGAGGCAGCAGCCTGATGTTCTGCTGTATAATATTGTGTCACAAGTTCTCTTATTTTTTGTGCAGTTGCGTTTGTGCCATTTTTTTCTACCCAAAGCCAGAGTATTTTCTTTTTCTGTTCTCCAACAGAGAATCTGTAGTTTTCAATAATTGTAGCGACATCTTGCACACTGAGAGCAAGTCCATTCCCAGATTGTGCAAATGATATAAAATCCGCAGTTGTGGCAAACTTTTTCACGACTTCAGTAAATGCATCCTCTAATCTTTCAGCCATGGTCATTCAGACAACCCAGAACTTTAAAATTCTAGCAGCATATCTTCGTAAACAATTTGTTATGTTATATTATTAACAAATACATAAAATACTGGCTGTCTAATAATAAACATGGAAAAAATTCAAGTGATTCAGTAAAAAAGAAAAAGAATCTAATTCACCAAAGAAATATTTCCCTTCCTAATGACACTCCTTATCATACCGGTACAATACCGGTAGTGAGATAAATTAAGAAAATTCCAAAACAAAGTAAAATCCACCCCACACAGTCACAAGATACCAACACAATAAGGATAACTACCGGTAATCACAAATTAAGCAACAATATATTCCCATCAAAACTGTGGGACTAGCCTGTTAAAAAAAAACGGTCAAATAAATCCCAATGCATAAAGGAAAACATCCATAATGCAGTAATGTGATTTTATTACGGCGTCAAGTTAACATAAATTAAAACCAATTTTATTGAATTCATAAAATTCATTAAACTTATTATTTTTGCAGATGTCGGTTCTCCCGTTCATATCTAAATAGCTATGACATTAATAGTTGTACCTACAAATCCCAGCAACTGACTGCCTGAAGGGCGGAAACCTTTTTAATACAGTACGGTAGTTCAGTTTCCTTTACGGTACTTTCCTATTGCTGCTGTTCTCGTTCTAGCGACAATCAAGAACCACAGAATAATACAAAAATACGAGAATATCGGTCAGAGACCGAAGACTTATCGATCGAAAGTTAGGGGATCCGCAAAACAGCGCTCTTACTCCATAGTGACACCTTGTGTCCCGTCAATAATTAATCAATACCTCGCTAATTATACGAGATAATTCGCCCAAAATCAATAGGCTTCTGGTCCGAGATAAGATGAATGTACATGCAAAATCTGGAGCAGATTCAATCTCGCTTTCGTGAGATATCGCGTGCATCTAACAGACATTACGGCTCCCTCCACCACCAAGTCCATGCTTCCGAAAACAAACAATATAACTAATCCCATACCCGACTTGGAATGGTAACCGGACGAGAGGCCGTGGTTCGCCATATGGATAAGCCGTCTTATCGGCTTTCCTCTCCCCCGGGATAAATATGTAAATCCGATCCGATGTAAATCCGATCCGACATACAGACAGACATATACCTATCAATATACTTACCGATTAAAATCGATAAGTAATGATAAAGATGTGGAATACGGTACCCAAATCCGCAACCAACAATTACGGTAGCTATGCAACAACGCTGCAAAAATCTTGCAAATATGTCTTATGGGCGTCGTCTTCGATGACGACTTATAAATGTTTATTGGTGACGTCATAATTTGTCACAAGATTCGATTTGTTTGGGTTCGCTCACGTGAGTAGAATAAAAACTATCCGACGCGTTTTAAATATACACGGAATAAAATAGGATGTATCTCGTATAGATACTATGACGACAAGATCTGAGGCATCAGTTGAGGTATAATGAAATTAATTTTATCAAACAGATAAAACTTCAAAACAAACAGGCTGTTTGTTAATGGAACAGGTCTCACCATTTTGTATTTTGCACATTAAGTTATTACTTACTAACGTCACCATAATCTAACGAAACAATTTATAATCAAGATCCATAAGCAGCATATTTAAATTACAAACGTTACACTAATTTTAGATAAAACTGTTATGCATAATATTATTCATCCAAATACAATGCTTGAAGCAAGCTACTTCTACGAATAATTCAGATTTTGGAATCTCGTAAATTAAAATAATAATCAAACTGCATTCTAACTTTATGAGGCAATGTGAACACTGACGCTCGTATCAATCATACATGGGGTTTTCGGTGTAGCGTTTCCCAGTCGCAAAATGGGAAGGAATTACATTGTTTATGTGGAGGACTTATTACTTTGTAGTTGATGTAATTTCAGTAATATTGTTTTGTTAGTTAGTATTATTGTAATGAATATTTATGGACAGATTACAAACTGTACAAAACCAGAATGCGACTTAAGACGTTTTTACGGTACCGGCAGGCTACTCATATTACCGGTACCGTACGGTACCGGTAGCCTATTAGTTGGGATTTACATATTTATCCCGAGAGAATGAAACCCGATAAGACGGCTTAATCATATCAGCACATGGCGAACCACGGCCTCTCAATTGGCAACCAGTGGGCAGTGACCAGGGCTTATACAGTATTGATGACCTTTGATTTTGTTCTGTGAAAATGGTTTTGATAATTAGCACAATGGTCAGAATTTTAAACTCAGATTACAGGATTAGATAATATGACATTGCTGTATTGTGGTTTTTCACTACTTTTGTCACATGTTTAAACCTAATTTGATTTTTTTAGAACTTTCATGAATTTTCGTACTTTGATTTGTCATATTTTGTACAAAGCGAAGTTCAAATAAGTTCTTTTGTTATTAAAAGATTATGTTAATCTTCTAATAATGCTTTGGAGTCTCTAGTTGTAATTTAATTAGAGAGAGATCTATAGTTGCTATGTTTCTAAGGTTTTTGTTTTTAGTTTCTTTTTAAATTCTATCCGAGTCCTATTGGACCTACTCAACTGAGTCGCAGTTCTTACCACTTCATGGCAGCTTCTGCCACAAACGAACCGCAGCAGCTCTTGCCATGGTTTTATAGCGCTATTCAGTAATCATTATTAACGGTATATTCACAAATTAATGTACTCGATTTCAATTGATCATGTGGGAATTATATCTACCTGAACCCTAAACCCAAATCCATCAAAACTGTATCCATAAGAAAGACGTTCCAACTTACCCAATATTTATCACCATAAGGGACAGCCCTGTCTTTACAGCCCACCTGTCGCGGTTACGGCAGCAAAATGTTACCTGCCATTAGTTTTCAATTTGCTGTCGCGGTAACGGCAGCCTGTCATTGGTTTGTGGCAGCTAAAAAGTCAGTCGCCATAGGTTTGGCCGTAGCGGCCATGGTATGGAAATACCGCCATGGTTTTGCGGCAGCTGCAGACGCCACAGAATACTTAAAACTGCATTCGACTCAACTGCTTAACCATTCTCCATTAATTTTACCAGATTTAGACACTTAACAAGGAAATTATCATATAAACCTACATCATGACACATTGGTTCCATAGAAACCCGCTTAAAGCGACTGCTCCACAGGATTTTGATGTTCGGAAAGTAGCTATGAAATCAGATTTCAGTAAAATTATGGGGGATTTAAGGCAAGCTAGAAGAACACTACTGGCTACATTCACAGACCCATCAGCTTCAACTGAAACAATGGAAAAAGCAAGTGGAGCATATTTCTCTCTTTTATTGGGACTTATAAATGCACCCTCTCCTAAATCGGCAGAAACACCTAAAAAAGAAAATGCTTCGGAAAGTCAAAGCGATGACAAAACGGATAGTGATAAATCAGAGACTCCTAGTGAGGAGGTCGATCAAAAGCTGAAAACTTTTTTTCGCTTCAAATGGTCACAATCGCTTTGGATTTCTAGACCACCAGTGGTGCAAGAGGATGCTGAATATGAGCTTGTGAATATGGGCGTTAATGTAGGAATATGGTACACGAAACATGCTGCTCGAATTTCAGACAAACAAGATATAAATATGGATGACGCTAAGGAGGTTTTAAGAAGTTTGAAAATTGCTGCCGGTATATTCAAAGAATTCAAAGATAATAGAGTAGGACGGCTACTTGTCGAAGGTGATAAAACGTCAGATTTGGACCCAAGAATTCTCGATTGTTACATCACATGCTGCCAAGCGGAAGCGCAAGAAGTCACGCTTGCACGAGCAGTCGAAATGAAACATAGTCATCACTTGATTTCGTCTCTTTCGAATGATACGGCATCGTTTTTTCAACGTGCGGATGGCCATCTCAAAGCTCTTGACCAAGAGGTGGTACTAAAATGGAGGAAGTACCTCCAATTAAAACAGGCTTTCTATAAAGCTTATGCTTATTGCTACCATGGCGAAACACTCCTTGGAAAAGAAAAATGTGGCGACGCCATAAAATGCTTGACTGAAAGTGAAGCTCTAAGTGAAAAATGTTTCAGCCTATGTAAAGAGTACATGTCGACCAAAGGTGCCGGTTCGACGGTTCGTCCGCATGAGCATAATTTCTACCAAAGACTGCAGCGCCAAATCCGTTTTACACTGGATAAATTGAAGCGGGAAAATAGTTTCATTTACTTTCAAAAAGTGCCGGAAGTTGTTCCAGATATGGATCTCAAAGCAACGTATGGTCTCGTAGAACCAGAGGTTTATTCAGTCCCAGATCTTAACCCTTCATGGACATCAACAATCTACACTGGATTTAACGTCAGCAAAAATGTGGAAAACAATAAAAAAGGAAAGAAACCTCAAAAGGATGTTGACGTCGTGCCAGTGAAAGAACCTGATATCAAAGTAACCAGAGGAAGTGACTGTACTATATCATAAACTTCATCAAAAAATGTTTTTGATTGTTTATTGTTTGATACTTATGAAGTTAAAAAATCGAATCAATATTTTATCTTTTTTAGTTAAATTTCTGATCTTTGTAGAAAGCAATTATCTGAGTTTTTTGAAATATCATATTATGTCTCGTTTGTAATAATTAAGTTGAATGATTTTAGTGAAAATAGACTTGCAGCAGAAAAAAATATGTAAAAAAATATTTCTTGTTCAAATTTTGTTATTTAATAAGAGTGAAACATCAGCTTTCCGGATTTCTACTTCTTATACTTTCTCTAACCATTTACTTGCCAAAAGAATTGGCAAGTCAATATTGGGACAAAAACGTTGAAAAAAGCATTTTTAGATTCAATTTTGGTATTTGATGGCACCATATACACGTTGTATATATTATAGTTCTTGCGTTCAATGAATAATTAACTAACGAGCACAATATTTTCAATTTTTTTCTTATTTTCTGTGTCATTTTACTCTTGTTGGACTTCAATGAAGTTCATACGGATTTGCAAAGATTAGCTGAATTAGATTCAAGTTATAAAGTATAATCCTAATCTCGTAATTCACAAAATTCCTAATTGGGTAATGCCTTTTCAGTAAAAGTTCGGAACAGGAACAGATACTAAATAGGCAGTTCCTTATACATTCGTTTGTGAAAATGGCATATTTTTTAATAAATGAAGTATATCAGGGCCCAGGGGGGTCCAAGGTTCCGAGATTGAAGTGCCGCAAAAATCTTGAGGCCTTGCTAGCTGCAAATAAATGAAGCATAAATAAAACAATGTATTGTTTCTTGTTTTAGATTTCTGCTTCAGGTCTGCGGACGCATAAAATGTGAACGTGCCAGAGTTTGGACCACTCTGAAGTATATAGTTAAATGTCTATAGTCGTTTATTATAACAGATTTGATCAATTTATGTCAAATTCTAAACAAGGGCAGGTTATATTAGTGAATTTTTCAAGGGATATCTGATATTTTTGAAGCTCTTGAAATTATCTCAATCGGCACAGTTTCGGAACCACTGATCCTGATAAATTTTTTATTCCCATATATTTTAAAAGCTGCCGTTTACGTATATAATATTTTGTTTCACTAGTTATACAGTTAAAATGCTTTTATTTTTTTTTATTTTTCTGTTATAAAAAATTGTGCTTGATGAATTTGGAAAACCTCTTACATATGAGCAATAGTTTCATTTAAAAACTGTTTGTGTGATGTATTCATTTGAAACGTAGCTACATAGGGGAACCCAACAATCACTAGAGCAGCGTTTCTCAAACTTCATGGCTCTGCGAACACAGATTTTCTTGTATCGATATGTGGCGCCTCCATTTTAATTTGAAAATAGATTAAGTATTTACCATATATACTATATAGAGACTTAAAAGAACTTTCTTATTGTTTTTGCACCAAATACTATCATATAAAATGTAATGATTTGTAACTATCAGTTGAAATTTCCTTGGTCCATGCCTTTTTGCAAGTGGATTCTTATGCATATATCGGAGATGTAAAGTTAACAATTCTATTCAGTTCAAGAGTCCTGCTGCACACTAACACGAATGTATTTCTGCAACGTTTCGTTCTTAAAACAAGCATTTTACAACTTTGACTTGTAAATAACTTCAGAGACGAAACATCAGACGAAACATTATCGAAATACATTTGTGTTAATTCGCAGCAACACTCTTGAATTAGGTAAATAGAATAATCATTTGTTGCTAGCAATTGTATTCTGCTAGGCTTCATGGATACTTGTATATATATGAATATTGTTAAATTTTTGCTATGCATGCAATTTATTGTATATTGTAGACTGTAGTTCATGTAATCACATTATATACCGTTTTAATATTTTCTGATGAAAATTATCATTTTTCCATTCATATCTTCAGTATTCCTTCATGCTGAAACTTGTTAGTGAATGGTCAATCTATGTTACACTGCAAACTTTTTTGCACTCGGAAGCTGACTTATACTGTTTATGTCGTATATTAACTCCCATATACAGTAATTTGATCAAAAAGGCACAAATGAGGTAGTAGATTAAAGATTTTAGCTTCCCATTTTTTTCTTGCTTCACCTTCCCCCTCTCTCCCCAATATTCCAGGCTCAAGTGAATATTTTTATGACGTTTTGAATAGGACACTGAATATGCTGCCAATAATGGGTAAAGAAACTATCATTTTTGAATTTTAAATACAGTAATTTTGCTTAAAAAGGCATAAAAGCGGTGGATTGACGATTCTAGTTTTCAATTTCATTCTCGCCGACGGCTGATATTCTGGCTCAGTGCGCTGGTAAGGAAATATCATTTTTAAATACTGGAATCTTTACGGTTACGGTTTATTGTATTCATTGAATTTTTCAAATCAGAGTAATAGTGGGGCGATAATATAATTTTCGTAACAGCCTTTTATTATTACTGCACTTAAATTTGATGCTTGCAATTGTCGCGTTATAGATTATATACTTTCATTTATTAAAGCCCACATTGATCAAATTCACTTTTCCAAGTCCAGAAATCAATGAAGCATGAATTGGCAGCATTTGTATCTCGTTTTTGGTAGAATACATACCTGAATTCAGACAGTACTTACCGTAATTTTTTGTTGTTGATGGATTTGACTTGTTATTTTTTCGCTGCTACATCGCTATGCTGGCATCCCTATATTTCAGTTTTTCAGCAACAGGGAGTGTTTTGAATTTTTTTTTTGTCCATCTTATGTTTTGGTTATTAATGTTACATTTGTGTAAGAAAACAATATTTTAATTTAAAAGCCAGCATCTACACTTCCCAATTGGCATAAGCTTATTCTGGCCAGTAACGCTTCATTGATTAAATAGTCAAGTAGCCCAGATCACTTTTATTGTACATAAATGCTCTTTAATTTGTGTTTTATTTCAGAATATAATAATAGATAGCAACGGTAGTATTATGTGCTGAGATAACATTGTTGCTTTGAAAGTGGGATTTCAAGCAGAAAGACATTGCAATAGCAGATTTTCTTCAGAAGTAGGTAAGTTTCTGGTCGATATACTGAATTTAATAAGCAGAGGTTAATGCCACTTAATGGTTCCCAAGGAATCATCAAAGCCATTACATAGGGGTATAGCCCTAGCCCAAAGAATACTCTTGTTTCTCATCTTTATTGCTTGTTTTTTTTTAATGTTGTTTGAACTTCTTATTAAATGCTACTGTTTAAAATGCTTGAAACGGGACCTGATCTTGATAGTTAGCATTAAACAGTCCATAAATAGCTAGCTATTCTATTCACAATACAGAGATCTTTTTTCTATTACCTATAACATGGTTGTGCAATCTTCATTACAGGAGGCCAAGATACAAACGAGAATATCGGTCAGAGACCGAAGACTTATTGATCAAAAGTTGGGGGATCCCAAAACAGCGCTCTTACTCCATAGTTACACCTTGTGTCCCATCACTAATTAATTAATAACTCGCTAATTATACGACATAATTCATCCAAAATCAATAGGCTCCTAGTCCGACATATGATGAATGCTCATGCAAAATCTGGAGCAGATTCTCGCTTTCGTAAGATATCGCGTGCATCTAACAAACAGACAAATACCTATCAACATACTTACCGATTAAAATTGATAAGTAATAACTGGGTGAAACCAAGGGCTGCAACTTTTTTTAACATAGGCTTTCTAGTAGTTGCAGGCACAACAATTTTGATTATTGATCTTATGACATGCATTGTTCGCTTCGCACAAGCTAGCTGTTAGGGCATTGTATCGTCATAGGCATAGATAATAAGTTGGACTTCGGTATAGGCTTCACAAGATAAAGATATTGGAATCACTCGCACACATACTTGAATTAAACCAAATTAAAAACTCATTTTTGTGGGCTGCAAACAGTTGCGTGCCTAGAGGGGGACGAAGGCAGCAGAACCAAGCTGTAGAGTTTGGGTTGTTACACATGCTCTTCTAGATGTGTTCTTATTTAATTGAAAGCTAACATTATGTGTTCTGTGGTGATGGTTATTCAACAAGGGTGGCTTCCCCGACCCTTGAACTCAGAAAAATTTTCCTATATTTTACAATTGCAACATTTTTGAAGCTCATTTTAATAAAACAAACGTTTCTTTATTATTTGACCCTTATTTGATTTATTCTCGTGTATAACGACATCTATAATCTGTTCATCACCCAAATTATTACTTATCGATCTTAAGATCGGTAAGTATGTTGATAGGTATTTGTCTGTCTGTGTGTTAGATGCATGCGATATCTCACGGAAGCGAGGTTGAATCTGCTCCAAATTGTATGTGCATTCATCATAGCTCGGATCAGAAGCCTATTGATTTTGGATGGATTATGTCTTATAATTAGCGAGTTATTAATTAATTAGTGATGGGACAGACGGTGTCACTATGGAGTAAGACCACTGTTTTGGGGGATCCCCTAACCTTCGATCATAAGTCTTCGGTTTCTAACCGATATTCTAGTTTTAGAAGTTAGTCATAAACTCGCCCCTGGCTGCAAACCATTTAACATTGGCACTTCTCCGTGGGCTGCACAATTTTTTTTATGTGGGTCGCATCTGGCCCGCAGGTGGCACACCTCTAACCTATTATACAGGGTTTCTATTTTGTTTGACAGAATGGCAGAAGAGACTGACAGTGGTTTAGACGAATCATTTGAAATTTTAGACGTTCGTGGAACAGCTGGTGGACCATTAGGTATTGAACTATTAGTAATAGTATTATAATCGCAATTCGATTTTTAAAAATAGGATTACTGGTCATTATTTGAAATTCCTATATACCGTGTTTCCCTGAAAAAAGGACCTATAAAATGATTTTAATTTAAGCCCTCAAAATAAGACTTGGTCAATAATGCGAATTTTTGTTTTACCTAGTCGATAGCAAGAAATCTCTTCTTCACGTTTTAAATGATTAATAAGATATGTTTTCCAGTTATTTTGAATAAAAACATGTTATTTATAAGTAAATGGATATTGCTTCTCATATTTTGATTATTTGAAAAGTTCGTAGTTCTCTGCTTTTTAATTTTGTTTTTGATAAATGAAAATATAAGACATCCCCCGAAAATGAGCCTAGTGTTATTTTTCGGAAGAAAATTGAAATAAGACCCAGTCTTATTTTCGGGGAAACATGGTAGATCAAATTTGGCAATGCAGATTTTTTTAAATAAATTTTGTTTTGATCAATTATTACGGTTAGTGTGAGAATTAAGTTTAATCTTTGTCTCACTTTTGCTTACGATAGTATATGATTTACATTTTTATACTGGGAGAGAGGAAAACCGATCATATGGGAAACACGGCCTCTCGTCCAGTTACCAGCCCATGTCTGGTATGGGATTAGTCAGCCAGGTATTTGTTTTCGGAAACATGGACTTAATGGTAGATACAAATACTCTAAATACCAAGTTTTCAGATTAATATATTTCAAATGATTCGAAAACTCATTAAATTCACTAAATATGGATTATAACTAAGTACTTCATCTCATTTCATGGGATAAATATCTTGTTACCATACATACCAGGAGTGATTCAAGAGTTTTATGACCTTGGTCAGCCGAAACATAGGGTATTTAATTTTCATTTTTGCTCCAATATCCTTACATTGTATGTATACACATCTACCATTGCATTGAAGAAGGATAAGTACCGGTAGTTCTTCCCTCAGAAAGCCAACACGACCCAAAAATGATTCAAATCCTTGTTTTACAGGCACAGTGATGAACACTGTGACGCAATACTTGGACAAATATCCGACGACAACAAGAGTTGTTCTTGGTGGCACTGGCGGTTATGTTACTGGATATGTGTTTAAAACGGTAAGATTTTCATATTTTGGGGGAAAGAGAAATGCTAATAACACCGGACCCAGATATAATTGTGAATTTGCTTGGATTGACAATCACAGTACATAGGCGTAACCGAAGGAGAAGATTTTCAACAATTTTGTGGCAATTGCAGTGAGACAAATTATTATGGCCTTTCCAAACACGATTTTATTATTGAAAAGTGACTTTTCCTAGATTGCTATCAATAATAAATTCACTGAATGAACTAACTGAGATTGATGAAATAAGCTTGTATACCTTGGACAACTCCAACAGCAAAGCAAGTCTTTAGGGGGGGATTCTTCAAGATATTCTTGGATATCAGTGGCTGTTTATATCTAGCCTTTTTCTGAGCAAAAGGATAGGATTTACATATTTATCCCGGGGGAGAGGAAAGCCGATAAGACGGCTTATCCATATGGCGAACCACGGCCTCTCGTCCGGTTACCATTCCAAGTCGGGTATGGGATTAGTTATATTGTTCGTTTCCGGAAGCATGAACTTGGTGGTGGAGGAAGCCGTAACCGACCAGCGGTTACGTGAACCACCCAACGATGGCGAGGAGTCCAGCAATCCTCTCGCACATAATCATCCCTGCATGGGATTCGAACCTGCGAACCCCTGCAGAGTAATTAGAGGTGCGGTGGCGAGCGTATTCCTAACGCTTAGCCCGTTGAGCCACACCGCCGCGCCGAGGCATGAGTAAATGTCGTATAACGTCATTATACGAAAAATATTTGCCCCACCCTCGTCCTGGTAGTGAATATAGATAATTTCAAAGTAAATTGAGTATTTGATACATCTTGGACATTCCTTTCCATGCCTACTATCATACTCCAACTTCATTTTTCTAGGTTGGGAAGACAGCGGCAAGTGCGGTAGGAGGGGGGCTACTTTTGATTCAAATCGCACATAAGTGAGTTTTGAGATTTTATTTCATTTGCCACCTTATTAACCATGTTTTTTTTAATTAGACCTAACAATAAAAAGATCTAATAATAATAGTATCTCCATATGGCGCTCCAGAAGTATGTGCACCAAGATGGTGGATACCGGAACGTCGTATGTGTACCAGAACCAGGTTAGGGTTAGACCATACTTTTATTTCAATTTTCCATATTTTAGTTCTATTACGAGTTCAGAGACTAGTCAAGTGACTCCCGTAGTATTTGTACCTGAAATTATGGCCTAACCCTCTGATCTGGTACACATACTTCTGGGAGTACCCTCCACATCAGTTATCCAACACTTCAACCAGTAGGCCAGCGGTACCCAACCTCTTGTGGCCCTCTTACTGAGGCTTTTAGCATTCATGGCCCCTGTTTATCCTTCCAGTGGTATTTATAGTGTTATATTGATTGGTAGATTCCAAATCCTATTATGTTCAAACAATGCATGCTCAACAAAGTAAAAACACGCTGTGAAATAACCTTATCAAGCATTGGAACCAGGAAGAACAAGGGATATTCTTGTGAAATGAAAAGTAAAATCAGTTTTACGCCGAGCATTGTGCCCCCCCCCCCTCAACTTCCCTGTGGCCTCCTAGGGGCCATGGGCATCTAGTTGAAAACTGCTGCACTAGGCCACCGTGTCCACTCAATTAAATCGGCCTATTCAGAATAAAAGCTCATTATTCATTTCTTATTTTAGAGCTGGTTATATCACAATCAACACGTCACGCTTGAATAGAGATGCAAGAAGATTTGAACGCAGGGTACGAAATGAGATGAGACGAAATGAATCAGCATTCACAAACTTTGCAAGAAGGGGTGAAGAATTTGTTCGAAATAACTCGCCAGCTGCGCTCGGGTTCGCTGCTGGGTTTTTAATCGGACTCTCAACTTGAGATTATTTTTTAAATACTGATAATGCATGTTGCATCCAGGGTAGACAATTTTTAGGTGATGTGAAGGTATTTAATGAAGTAAAATGAAAATATTTGATCTTGCCTTCCTTATTTCTGATATCTACATTTCTTTATTGTTTAGAGATTGCGATTCCATTCACGTGTTTCAATGTGTTTTTTAAATAAAGCATACTTTTGTCTTACTATCCATAAGCTCCATAACCACTCTATTGTTTGGATTATCTTTCACCTTGAAAACAAATATGACTTTGTTCTACAAGACTTTGCCACATGAAATCAACCGAAATAGCACCGATATGTGTGAATAATTTTTGCCCCCCAATTCAACTGTGGAAGTGTGTATTATATGAGGAATAATTACTCACCATTTGCTTGATTTTCTGTGTTTGTCCATATACTCCATGGGTGGGCCAATAACGGCCCGCAGGCCGGATCTGGCCTACTGAAGTTTTTCATCCGGCACACGACTATATATTTAAGGATATAAATTTTTGTTTAAAATATTGATGATTTGAGTTCAGCCCAGTAAAACCAAGTCTATTGTCTATAACTGGCCGACTCAGAAAAGATTGCCCAACTCTGATATCACTCATATCTGATGCAAAGATGAGCATTTTATTGGCGTTTAAATGAAAATAAACAATTGTAGCAATAATTTACTTGTATTTGTCTAAATCTTTGTTTCTAAATCTTTCATTTATGTGTCTGAGCAGTTGAAATTTGCCTAATTTTGAAAGTGTGAGAAATAAATTTTACGGAACATAAGGCTTTGTTTCATTTACCCAGTTTATGAAAGTGTAAAAAATAGTAAATTATTTATCGAATGAATGTACGTACCAGGGCACAGTCTAAATTCTTTTTTTCTTTCTAATAAAATGGTCTTGTGCCATCAGGTCTTACTCAAAGATAGTGCCTTATCCTATATTGCACACACTCAAAATCAGTCATTGGGTAATTATAATTGGGGGCAACTCATGTGCGAATAAAACCAAATTCAATCAATTTATTGGACACAGTTAGTGGACATAACGATCGTTTTGTTGTTATGTTGTTCTTTGACACTTTGACACAACACCTAGTGGAAATATTAAAAAAAACGCTTTTCTCTTTGATCACTGGACCAATTGCTTTGAAATTTTTAGTGGTTTAAGATGAAATTTTTCTCCAAAAGGCTATTAGTTTATTTATTCCAGATATTTCTGTTAGCTCTGAGATTTGTTTTTGTTTGCTTTGACATCACTGAGCGTTCTGCGGACATCAAAGGCCATTTTGTGTCCTACTGTACTGCTTCGCTTTGAGTGAATATATTTGTAGGCTGTGATCTGACGGTACGGTAAACCATACTGTACTGCGAACAGATGTGTCCATATATTTGGGCGTAGCTCTCTTGTTTACAATGCGCCTCATGGCCCGTTAAATACGGCTCATTAATAGAAATCTTTTTTATCCCTACACCCGTGTCACACACAGTCGCAGGGACAAGCATGTTGCATGTGAATTCAATCAGTGTGCGAAATTTTCATTATCACATTTCAACTTTTGATTATGTGTTGCAAGATGTTTGTTTGTTGCCAGTTTGTGACACGAAATTGTGTTTGACAATTCAACAATTAGGGCAAAGGTCTTTAAGATGGCCCATGTATTCCTATTATGCACAGGTTCGAATCCCATGCGGGATAGTTATGTGCGAGAGGATTCTGGACTTCTTTGCCATCGAAGGTCGTCCATGTTGCCAATAGTCAGTTACGGCTTCCTCTATCATCAAGTTCGTGCTTTTTCAAACAAATAACTGGCTAATTAATCCCATAACCACCATGGTAACCGAACTAGAGGCCGTGGTTTTCCATATGATTATGTCGTCTTCACAGCCATGGGGGGCTGTTGGTTGTCATATAGTACCACGGTCTTATTGAATTTAATATTTCCAGGGATAATTAGCAAAAACACTATCTTAATGGCTGGACTCAACGGTTTGTGCAGAGTTAGGATCTTTGCAGATTTGAATCCTGAGGCGTTATCGTAGTTGAGTAGAATATAGCTATATCCCTCATTTGATGGCCCAGGTAATATCTGTGGGTTACCGTATGGCTCAATCAATCCAAGCATCTGAACCGATTTGTCAAGTTATAACCAACGACTAACATATCGTTATAACTATTCCCATATCCGACTTATGGACCATAATATACATATTAAATCTGTTTTTTGTTTTATATTTGTCAAAAGGGGTGCGTGCCGCACATTTGTGTTTTAGGCCAGCACGGTCTTGTGCATGCATCCCGTCTTAAATAATAATAATTGTTCATTTAATCATGTATCACTATTACGAGACGAATAAACATACATACAGATACATACATCGGGCGAGAGGACTGAATCTGTATACCTTCATCCCTAACTGATTTTTCAAAAAAGTACCTTTCTAACATTTTGTAACTTTTGCTGATATTGAAGCCGACGACATGTTATTATATTGTTAACAATCGATTGTCAATTGTTACAGACCAGATCTGAATTTGTATTGCAACATATTGATTCTTCCATGATAAATTTTCAAGGTCCTCGACCTCCTCCTAATCATACATGTATTAACCGTTACATTCGCTCCAATTATCGCCTGTTTCCAGCCCCAGGCAGTTATCCACTGGTATGTTCTGGCTGCTATCTTTCAGTAGGAATTTTCGATGTGGAAAACAATATCCAACCAGCTTAATATATAAGATGTTGATTTAACAATGCTAGTATTTATTAGAGTCTCCTACAATGCATGTAAAACAAAAAAAATGTTATGAAATGGACTTACCAGACCTGAAAATACCAAATAGGATTCATTACTTTAACCAACTTATAGCCAAATCCCAAAATATTCTATGGACCTTTCCCCGACCTTTGACCTTTATTGTTTTGATTTTGGTCCCTCAGACCAATGACATTAAACAACATGATGCGCAACTCCGGCATTTTTGTCCGAAGATCGTATTCGATAGCACGCTCCAATGCACATACTTGACGAGACGAAAACGAGCGGATGTGTGCTGCTTTCAAGGCGTAGCACGAATGGTGTTCGTGCCTGCTTTGACAGTTGTTGTCGATTTTAATGATATTTTGGAAAGTTAAGGTAAAAAGAAATCAGAAAAAGGTAAGGTAATCACTATTGTTGTATATCACGCCCGGGCATCGCACTGTTAAGTACATGTGGGAAAGCCAGCCTTTGTCAAATACTACGAGGTTATTAATTCAGTACGGTACGTAGTTGCCCATTTGCCGAAATTACATATTTACTTACCCCTTATGGTTTCAAATAGTTTATGCACCTCCAGTTCGATTTTTTTAATCAGTGAGGATATATACTCATTGTTGATTGCTGCTCATTGTAACATACCATTGCGCATTCACTTTTATTTCCGTATTGAATCAAAGTGTTAACAAGTTCACCGAACATTTCACTCATACCGGTCTATATTGTATAGTCTGATCTCTCAAGTATTTGGAGCCACAAACGCTTGTAATTTTCTGACTAAACCCTTTTATTAGTTGGTTTATATACCAAATTCAGTAAAATATTTTTTACATAAAACATGAGATATTGGATTTATTAGCTTTTCCAATCTAAATCATATAGACTGCTTTATTTATTCTTAAACGAAAATTAATAAATCTCCTCTCTTTCTTCAGATGTGAAAGTTGTGGACAAACCTGTCTAAGCATTGTGAGACTCTTGCAGCACAAGAGGCAATAGCAGAAATAGTAAGTATATCAATCAAGAAATTAAGCCGACATAAAGCAAAACTTTCAACTATTCGTCTAATCTCAATTTCCTATTATTTATTCACAGGACAACTATAACAGAAGGGGAGATATCAGAAGTCTGGCGACATATCAGTGACAGTGTGATTTCAAGAAATATAATTAGAGTACTCCATAAATGTTTGCAATAGAAAAACAACCTATGGAGGCATGCAAAGACATTTGACCCTCCGGTAGAGTTGTGTATGGCCCCCACATCCTGCAGGGCTTGAGGAAAATAACTAAAAATTCCAAAGCGTAAGATTGCATAAGCGGTCTTATTTGTAAAAAGGCACAAAACACGCCAGACAAACTTAAAACAGCTTTGGAAAATGAGGATTACGGGTAACTCACTGCACCTGTATTATATTTGGTTCATCAACTTTTGGTAGTACTATAGAAGAAATTCCTGAAGGGGTATAATCATCATTCATGATGAAATACTATCATATATTTTTGGACAACTTCAATCTAGACCAGGGATCTCAAACTCGCGGCCCCAGAGAACTTCCAGTGCGGCCCTCGAACGCTTAACAATAATTGTAATAGTATTTTATCTAAATGTAATAGATTTTTCAAATCTTTTAAAGTGAAATTGATTATTCACACAGAAAACAATTTAATGAAAGTAGTTTTGGAATATTAATTTTTTTTGTTCACATTTTGACCCAATTAAGAAACACATCAAGCTAGCAAAAGAATACTTGAATAAAACACTTGAGTGATTAAATTAAACGCAAATTACATGAAGAAGGTGGCATTTTTGAAGAAAATGAGGGTTGCAGCATTTTGCTTTTTACAAAATTCTGAAGCACATTGTTTAATTTGTCATATTTCCATCAATACAATAAAAAAACACAATAAGCTCAGCAGTCAATATGACAAATTCGAAGACCAACTTCGAACAGAAAATTTCCATGTGTTTGTATATTAATATAATTATACAACGACTTAGTAACTGAAAATCAGTATCAATAATAATTCAAGCAATCCTATGCCACGCAATGTGGTGCAAAATGTCTTGTCGAAAAAATCTGTCATTTGTTTTTTTACTGATCAATACATTAAATGATAAAAGTAACATTTTTGCATTAATGGAATTAATTAAACATTCGCAAAGATCCAGATTAACCCATGATCATGTGGCCTCGTTAGTTAGAGTTGGTACTATAAAATCATTTCAGCCTGGCCTTAGTATGCTGGTGACACAAAAAAGATGCCAAACGTCAGGACAAATGGAATTATTAAAAAATTTAGTTTATACTGTAGTATTTTTGTTAATTTTAGGTTCATATATTTAGAATAAGTTATTTTTAGTGTATGTATTATTCTTTCCTTATTCAAAGCTTGTTCAAAAATGATTTTGACGGTTGTACATAGAATTTTATGATTTTTTATAATAAAATAATTTTTATAAATAAATTTTTTATAATAAAAATACAGTAGCTTGCAAATGTTGCAATAATAGTGGAATGCAAGTATTAATATGTAATTGCATTTGAAATTGAAGAAAATAATAAAACTTAATCCAACTGTTTAGTTGCATCACAATATATGTCACAAACTAAAACTATCTTAAAAATATCTTCTAAGTATACATTATCAAAAACTGTTTGCGGCTCTTTTTACAATTTCCAAAATGCAATGCCGCTCTGGAAAACCCATGAGTTTGACACCACTGATTTATTCTAGACGATTCCAGCATTGCTTTGGGAAATAATATCACTTCAATTAAATTGAAATAATCTCGCTATATTAAATAAAATCGTTGCTATCATAAAGGTAAACCAATTCAGCCACTCGAAATATATTGGCCTTCACAAAGCAATGGAGGCAAAATTGAGAGTTCATGAGCTATGAACATTTGTTCTTTTCTTTGTCTATGTGATGGCCATACATAACTTTAACTTGTATTTTCTGTCGTGATGTATTATCTCAATGTGCCAAACTATTAATTAGTGTGCATATTTTGCTTCCAG